GTCAACATCTGTTTGTTGTCATCTACCATCAGCATCACTCCCACAGCGTCCCTCTGAAATCTCTAGCCTGACTTTTTGGTTTTCCTTTCTATCTTTTTCTCCTCAAATGTAATTGTTTGAATATTGACACGTTGGATTTTACGATTGTTCTCTGCATCGGATTTGATTTGAAGCCAATAAAGAAAAACTTAAATAAGTGAATAAAAGGCGTCAGCTTTTTTTTTTTAATACTGTGATGTAGTATATGTGGGTGTAATGTACTCTTTTATGGGTTTAAATTGTCTCCAATGAACTATTACATTTCCCTCATCTTTCACTGCTGCACATTTACTACTCTGCACACACTGTAAAGCCTCCTGCAGTTAACCCCTCCCCCCCCCCCCCACCCCCCGACATGACGACATCATCGTTATTAAATTATTACCAGGGCAAAGGACAGCAGTCGGAGACGTTCTGCTCTCTGCGATTCTACAGAGTATTTCACTTTTCCATGACATCATGGCTCCTCAGGGAGCGAGGTGATCCATTACCTGGGCCGAGAGGACGATCACAGTACGTATGTACTGCACTGTACTGCACTGTACTGTAGTGTAGTGTCTCTTTAACACACACAGAGAGAGGCAGTCCACTCACAGTCATAGTGACCTAAAGTCCAAACCATCGTTTCTTCCAGTATTAGTACTGTTAGTATCAAGTGCTCTATGTACTGTACATGCTACGTTACTAAAAAACAACAACAAAAAACAAAAACAGAAGAGTAGGAAATGAACAGATCATCAACTGTTGAAGAGCGTTTCATACAGCAGGTCAAGGAAGCTGCCAAAAAAAAACAGAAGAGTAGGAAATGAACAGATCAACTATTGAAGAGTGTTACATACAGCAGGTCAATGAAGCTGCCAAAAAACAGCACCTGGAGAGGTTCAGATCAGGAGCAGGAAGTCCAGTAAACAAAGTCTTAACTTTGAGGAGCAGGAAGTCCAGTAAACAAAGTCCAACTTAACTAAGGCATGTTTTCAAAGTCTCACACAAAGATCAACAAACACAGACACCGACCACTGACCAAACCATCAACACAGACTGAGTGAAGAAGGAAGGTATTTATACTCAGGGCACCAGGTGAGATTAATGAGACAAATTACCAGGGAACCACAGGACACAGCTGAGTGTGATGAAGACAATGAACGGAGACACAGACAGACCTGACACAGAGATGGTTTTATCAAGTCATCGAGCAATAGATTTGAGTGACAGCAGAAAATAAGTAATTGATATGAATAACAAAAAAACACTTAAACTCGTTTAATTTATTATCATATTTGTCACTTTTCATTTCAGTGTCTAAATGTTCCAGCCTGGACTGTTGCTCAGTGCTAGATACAGCAGTCATCCATGTTATGATACATAAATCTGTACAAAAAAAGAGGAATGGGAAGGAGACAAGACAGAGGAGAGGTTCACAGATCAGTGAGGGTAAATCAACAGCCGTTCAATCACACGTAGTCACATATAAAACCACATCATCAGCAAACCTTTCATTACAAACCCATTTCTTTTTCTGGCTGGAAATTGCTTTTAGGTTGTACTTTATCTTGTAATCCCGATGTCCTGAAGGGGGTGCTACATCAGTAATTGCTGTCACTTGTATTTATAGGGACTTCACACTGACTCAGCTTTCAGTGTGAGGTCATCTGTTATCCAGATTTTTTTTTTTTTTAGCCTTATTACCTGGAAGACTGTAGACTTCACTCTTGAGGGAACCAAAATGAATGAGATAGAGATGGTTATTTTTATTATTATTTTTTTACCAAATGTCAGATGGAATATGTATATTTACACAACCCTACAGCTAAAGAAAAAAACCCACACACAAACGTACTGGGTCGCGACCCACAGGTGGGTTGCAAGAGATTTTTTTGGGGGTCGTCTTGCATCATTTTTCTCAGGAGTTTACGAATAATATCTTTTGACTTGGGTCGCGAAGGTTTGTGACTTTTAAAATATGGGTCCCCAGAAAAAAAGTTTGGTAAATAGGAGGTCTGACGATGGAAATAGTTTTACAAAAAAAAAAAAATCAGGTAACACTTTTGACAGTCTAATGATAACCTGTGACAGTAACACCAGTCATGAGTTCACTCAGTACTCAGTACATTTTTTTTCCCCAGATTGTGAGGAGCAGGAGCGTACGGTGGAGTAGTGGGTGGTGCTCAATCACTGGTTCCCAGGTTCATTTTTTCTCCCCCAGCTGTTAAACATGCAGGATGGAAGTTACTGGAACATTTGGAATGAAATGTTTGAAGGTGAGAGTGAAAGGTTGTTCATCTCTACCCGTGATGGATCAGGGAAGTGTCCAGTCTGTACCACAGCCTGGCCTGACGGACGCTGGGATCTGCTCCACTTCCACTCCACAACCGTGAAAATGATGAAATGGAAGAAGATGAATAGGTGATAGAGGCTGGAAGTAAGCACAGCAGCAGAAAAGCAGTCAAGTACTGCGGAAAAATATGAGATGAAATACGTACAGAAGGGATGAGAGTACACTTCACAACTTCACACACGGTCACAATCGCTGAAAATAATTTACGATTCTTGGCATTTCAGAGTTCGCAGACGAAGGATGAGCCACAGACACGCTGTTAGCTCTCACTTTTGATTTTACTTTTTTATAACATCGGTTGATGTTTTCATGAAGAATGTGATGTAATGCGATGTAACAGATGTGTGGAACCAACAGAGAGACCACAGAACTTTTAAACACAGTGAAATCATGACACAGTCAATAACTTTGAAGACATATTTGTTTGTTTTTTTTTACTCTGAGTTGAAGGTTGCTGCTGCTGGGAGTTTTTTCTTAAATATCCCCAGATCTGTCTTACAATTTATTTTTTTTTCCCCCCAAGGCAAAGATCGGAGAAATATTTTTTCATTTTTATCCCGACTTTAAGTCTCGGACAATGAAACTGCTGCAGCAACATCCCCTGCATTTTAAGTGAGGGATTAAATTTGGTGGAGACTCAGCAGGATTTACACAGAAATCTAGAGGCCTCTACTTTTTCCCAGGATTTGTGCCAGTTTGCGAGACTGCGACACACACATCACACAGCGACTGAAGTGAGACACGGCGCTCTCTCCTGTCGGCACAAAGACGACAAAGACGGTTATTAATTAGAGCTCGTGGAGGCTAAATGAAGCTCCTTTGATGTGCTCTCACCATCGTTGGCTTCTGCGCTCACTTATCTGCTTTAGCCTCATTAGCATCACATCATAATTCCCTGTCGTCTGAGTTCAGCCACGATGCGCCAAATATCAGTCAGAGTTCAGAGGAGTTTAAGAGAACGGGGCTCCAGAGAGGAGCCATTCCACTCAGAGAGGAGTTAATGGACCCCAGCCGAGGGCTCAGAACGGACTGTTCACATTTAAACCAGGGGGTGTTAAACATACGGCCCGCGGGCCAAAAAAGGCCCGCTAGGGTGTTTAATCTGGCCGGCTTGATGGATGAATATTGAAATTATTTTTTTTTGCACTTCTCTTCAAAGAACAAATATGAGCTTTGCTTTACGTTCCAGGAAATATTTCCCATCTGTCGTCTCCATGTCTCAGGACTGAGAAAAGAGCATTCCGTTTTCTAGCTTCACCCTCAGCATGGAACACGTTAGAAGCTGAACTGAAACCATATGGAGTTCTCAGAGAGTGAACTCCACATGATTATTATAACATTATTATTAATTACATATTTTAACTTGTAGTTAGTATTTAATAAATTAATTAATAACCTAAATAATTAATATTTTTTAATGACTTGGTTATTGATCATGTCTGAATATGAAGGGAAAGGTATAAATGTAACTGTGGCCCTAACATTCCTGTTGCCACTTTAAATCAAACAATAATGTTAATAATGAGCATCAAAGGTGGCATACAATTAGAATATTTGCAACAGTCCAAAAAAAAATATAAAAAAAGAGAATTAATGAATCACCATAAGATGGGATGGAAATATTACTTCATTCCAGTAAAAGGTCTGTGGCCAATCAGACACATTTCATGGAGGTAAAAAGGGAAAAGCTGGACCATGGACGACAAAGAAAGAAAGAACACAGCTTAAATGTCATCATTCCTTTCAGTACGACGGCCGCGCAGTAATGAATGTCATTGTTGACATGCCAGATAGCTTAGAGGACAACCGTGATGTCAAAAGGCAAATGTCACTTCAATTAGAGCCCTCGCAGCAGGAACGGAAAAGGTCAAGCAGAGCCTTGGTCGGTTCAGACTCCGAAGCCACTCATTTCAAATTTTGACATCCTGCATTTGATGTGTCATCACATCCTGTTACTGACAGAGAGAGTGTAGGGTCAGTGTAACGGTCGGTCCGCTGCACCGCTGGACTATTTCTGACCACATGCCAGAAGCGTCTTGAAGTGGCCTCTCCAGCTTTATCGCTGCTCTCTCCTCTTCTACTGTGTGTGTGTGTGTTGAGATATATAAGGGGGGGGCGTGGGGGGGGGGGGCA